CTCCCTGAGTTTCAAGGTAATTCCTCCTTGCGGCTGGAGGAGAGGCCACAGAAGCAAGAGTTCATCCTCAGCCCCGTCTCCCCAGGTACCGCCTCTAATTCTCACTGCAGCAATTTCTACAATATTTGACCCGTAGAGACAGACCCACCGAAACACCGACGGCAATCAGGACTTGTAGCTTCCAGTGAAGGGCGGGAATTTCCTCTCCGAAACATGCTGACGATGACAAGTCTCACAGGTTTTCTGATAGTCCTTAACCACTGGGATGACTCAATTCCCTCCTTAATCCATTCTTTTTCGCACCTTTTAGTAGAGTTTGATGGAGGACTTCAACTCCATATGTTACTTTTCCAAACTTAAATTTACTTTTTCCTCTGGCCAATCAATCTCATGAGTTATGACGCCACTGGGGAGTTTTAGGTTAGCCCCTGAAAACATACCTTTATCCTGAGATTATAGTTGACTCAAGTTTCATTTACATTTAGGTTTATAAGTAAAACTGTGAATCTTTTATTATGACATATAGCCGCTGTGGAGAGCTTAAAAATATGCTTTACATAACACATGTCAGCTAATATTACTTCTCAAACTTTCCCACAAAGATCTCTTTCTATCTGAAATGCACTGCCGGTTAGCACAGGACTCACCGGAGGCCAGTGGTCACTAAACTTCAGGCACATCTGGGCTGGTAGAGCATCCCATACCCTCATCTTTAAGAAACAAATTTGCAGTGACACAGGATTCCAGGGATTATTCTGAAGCACCGACATTCTACCTCCCGACCCATTCACTGTCCCATGGGGAAAGTTCTTTGTTAATTCGTGGCACTCTGGCCAGAAAAGAGGAATGATACATAAGTGTTCTTATTCACCAGAAACACATTGTCACATTTCCGCCTGTATATAGTGTTCCTACAAATGCATCCCTCTGTTCTGAGGCTTCATCGTCCCTCACCACTGCCCTTTAAACAAAAAGAATTAATACACTTTAGTTTTTCGAGCAGTTTTAGGTTGACAGAAAAACTGAGTGGAAACTACAGAATTCCCATATACCCCTTACCCCACCACCCCCTAGATTCCCCTATTATTGATGTTTTGCGTTAATACGCACGTGTTACAACTGATGTCCCAATATTGATATATTATAATTAGCTAAAGTCCATAGTTTACATTAGGGCTCACCCTCTGTTTCATACACTCTGTGGATTTTGACAAATGTCTAATAGCATGTGTCCACCACTACAGCATCATGCAGAAAATTTTCACTGCCCCCCAAATCTCCTGTGCATTACCTGCTTATCCCTCCCTTCCCTGAGTCCTGTAAACCATTGATTTTTCTTCCTTCTGTTTCTGTAGTTTGGCCTTTTTCCAGAATCCCACATAGTTAGAATCATACAATATGCTGTCTTTTCAGACTGGCTTCTTTCCCTCAGCAGCATGCATTTAAGGTCCTGCCATGTCTTCTTCACGGCTTGATAGCTCCTTTCTTTTTATGCCATTGCACTTTTAACACAATAGATTTTATTACAATCAAGATATTAGTAAATCCGCCCTGATGGAAGATATAAACGCTTTTCTGGAATGGTTGGCGAGTCTGATGCCCCATCAGTTTGCAAATACAATAGTTCATCGTGTCTACACATTACCCTTCCGGGCAGCCTCCAACAATGCCAGGACCACTTGGTTCAATGCCCCAAGTCCCGTTTCCCAGGTACCGACTCTCTCAGGACGTTGAGACCAATACTACTTAAGCCTAAGTGTGGTAGCCACTGTGTACTTGTCATATTTTATGCACGTTCATGAATAGTGTCCCCCAGAGATCATGAGTTCAAATATTCAGCTTTGGGGTGTGCCTCTTTCTGAAGATTCTTTGGGAGACTCCTCAGTAACATATGGGCATACAAAAGTATGAATATGATGGGCATCGCTTGAGAAACAAAACCCAGTGATGGTTTCAACCTGCTCTTCGTTCAGGCAGGTCATCAAGGGATGCTGATTGATACCTTTTCTGCAATGACCTCAAGTAGTTACTTGGGTTAACTTTATAGTTTGGCTTCAGGTCCCTTTTCCATCTTAGAGGAAAAGCAAATCCAGGGGTCTTCTCGGCATGGGTCATGAGCTGCAGCCACCCCTGAGAGAGTTGAGAGGATGAAATCTCTCATGGCGAAGCCCTCTCTCAGGAAAAGCACGACCGCATCCTCTCCCGAAGTTATTTGTAACACGTGCTCCTTCCCACCTTCCCCAGCCTCTCCCTGTCCACTGTTCACCGGTCTCAACTCAGACTTGGCCTTTCAGATTCAGCCGTCCTACCCACTAACAGACAAGCAGCAGAAATCACCTTCCTGGAATGTCCCCTATCGTCCATTCCCGAGAAGAAGCACCTTCCAAGGATGAGAAAGTTATTGCGTGATTGCAGCGTCCTCCAGCCTCCCTCTCATCCCCATCCCCTTTCTTTGGAAAGGACCCTTTTCAAAGATGTTCCTCCTCTACCATTCCTCATAGAGTCAGATCAACTCTTCATGACTCGACCACAGTCCCTCCATCTTATAGGAAAAGCGTTTTGAGTCCAGCTCGAAGGTGGTAGGAGACATACTAAGACCAGACAACATTGAACTGCTCGCCATTCTGGTACATTGACAGCAGTGACCTGTCACCTTGGTCCATGAAATGTAGTTGGTAGAATCAAAGAAACACAATCTGTTGCTTCAAGCCCTTAAAGGGACTGGATTCAGCCAAAGGGTAATCAAGCCCAGAGTAGAAATCATGCCTATTCCAGTCAGAACCACTTTGAAGCCACTGGGGTTACTGGCAAGGGTTCTAACAACCTACCTGCCAACCCTTGTCCTTAAGCACCTTACCCAAAGCCTTTTAAGGCAGTCCTTTTTCTCTCAGCATTCACAACTGTGCCTGACCACATGGGAAAGCAATACGCCATCTTTCCACCCATCATTACGAGGCTTGGACACCTCTATGCTCATTTACACTCATCTACCGAGTAGCCAGCTCTGGGGCCAGAATCAGCGAGCCTCAGCCTTCACATTCCAGGTTCCTTTTGAGTCAGCGGCAGGGTCTTCAGGTGGGCATCTGATAACCCACTTTGATTCTCCTTCAGAGTTCCAACACAGATTTCTAAAATTGCCTTCCCCGTAGAGAGATATTCCTAATCGTTCAGTTACTGGGGGCCCGTTTGTTTGGCCATACGTTAGTCTGTAAATATCCAAGCATTAGTCCGGGGGTGGGAATCCGAAGGCTTAGTTTCTAGATGAGTTCTCTTTTGCCTATTGTGTGGACTTACCCTTGCCCTTCTGCAACCAGTTTTACCATCTAAGGGGGAAGGGTGGCTGGTTTCCAAACTGACTTACACCTTTCAGTCAGGGACTTTCCATCAGTGCATCAGGCAGCTCCTTTGCTGCAGCAGAGAGGGAATCCTGACGTTTAGGCTATTTAGCAGGAGGAGCTGGCCGTTGGGGGATTTTGTCACTGGCTTTAAATGGACAGCTACAACCTGCTCTTGGGCACAATGTTCTTCTCCTCCAACCCCTCCAGAGCTGCCATCAAATGTGCTCCCACGAGTACCATTCCCACTGCACCAGTGATTGCTGCTGAGCTGCTCGTTGTTGAAAAGCCCCCCCGACAGTGCAGTTACTGAGGGGCTAAGAGTGATGCGATATCTCAGTTTCAGGATCTGTCTTCACCAAAGGCTGGTGGCGCAGCAACAATTGACTCCTGAAAGAATTCTAGCTAGTTGCTGCATCTGCTGAGAGACGCTCCTAAATTTGCAGTATTGTAGGCCAAGGTGCAGTATTAGGTTTCTGCCAGAGACTCTAGTCTGCCTACATCCATTCGATGATACTTCCAAAACGACGTACGCTTTAATTAAATGAAAATAGTCACTGTGGGTGGAAACTGGGCAATTCTAGAGGTTTTCAAATGAAAGTGGAGTCAAAGGTGAAACCGACTTATTTAAGCCATAAGCCAATAATGGACCGCCCTCTATCTCGTATAATAAATGCATCACGAGATGTCTGTTTCCTTCTTTCTCCCCGATCCGCAGTTTCATTCTAGTGCGTCCACTGCGGCAGCCTTGTCCTTTCGGCTTTAGGATACCGCCTGCCACAGCTTCAGGTTCCTATGTGGCCTCATCCCTCCTCAAGAGGAGGTCTGTATCAGGGGCCCAAGCCTTCATCGGCAACCACCATCCCTTGCTTCCGCGTTGTATCACTCCAGGGTGACCCATCACTGGCTGTCATGTTGCCAACCTAGGCTTGCTTGTCCCTACAGTATATCAAATGCTTCGGGAGGACTAGTCCATTTTTCTGCAGGTGACAGAGTTGCAATTTTGACTTTTAAAGCACGGACTCTCTGTGTTCCTACCTTTGTCAATCCTAAAAGAAGTAGCACTCATACATTTGAAACTCTGGGGAACTGTGTGAATGCTAACATGGCAACCAACTGAAGGTGAACGCTCGTCCAGAGGAGTCTTCTCCATCCCGTGGTGTTTACCCTCCCGTTATCTGCGCTTGATCTTTTACTCAAAGAAAAGAAGAAAGCAAGATTCACAGGCAGGCGATGGTACTTTTCAGCCACGTGGTCCCTCTCTCCCTTGGCCTGCCTGTTACCACGTGCTGCTTCGATGGCACATTTAGTAACAGGGTCACAAGAGAAGAAGGCTGAAAGTAGACTGATCGCCCGAGGGGCAATGAGAACACTGCAAGTCTTGAATTTCCTCCTTAGATTAAAGAAGTATGTGGAGGTATTGGAGGAAATGGTAAACACTGCGTTCTCCCAACATACTACAAATCTAACTTTACTTTCAAACGGATTTATTGTAAGTCTCTACCTGTGTAGGAAATAGAGATCCTGCCCCTCCAAAAGTTAGTTATAAAATTGAACTCTCCGGATAAAAGAAAATAAATCATGTTGAATTTTCCTGAAAATGAAAAAATTCAGAATTTTATAAAGAAAAGATTATATGTATTATTTCCTGAATAAACAAGTATCTTCTTTCCTCAAATATAGTTTATTCATCAGGTCTAATTTATACAGTTAGCCCTAAAGTATGTCTTTTTCCATTACTCAAACTTTCATTCATTAAAAAATATTTCCAAAATGCTTTCTACGTAATCGCTACTGTTCTAGGTGCAGGGAATTCCATGGTGGAAAAGAAACCCCCCAAAAACAAGACAGTGCCTGTTTCTTTTTTTATATATAAATTAATATATATACTTGAATACAGACACAGACAGAGATGAAGATATGTATAAAGAGAGAGTATCTACAATGGATTTTACTGAACCCCCAGAACTATAACATAAAGTCACAAAGCAGTGAGTTAGCCCCGAGTCAACCTGAAGGTATCATGAAGAGAACAGCAGAAGATTTTGTCCTAAGTGGACATCAGCATTCCTGTGTGCTGGTTTTGTTCCCTAGATGAATCTGAGGTGCAGCAGCCCCCCGGCTCATTTCAGGGATCTCCAGCAAGAACAAAATGCATACCCAGTAGAAACTGGTGAATAGATACTCAGTGACTTCTGTAATTGTAATCACGCTGGCCCACAAGGTAGGCCCAGCAGACGTCCGAGATCTGCTGGTATAAAACCAATAAAGAAAGTGAATAAATCATGTTTTTTCATGAAAAGCAAGTTAAACATTACTAATTTTTAAATTATTTGAGGCTAATTAGTTAATAGTAACTGATATATGAATAAGAGTTAATGGTATCATATTGTTTGGTATAAGTAATGCAACAGCAATTAATATGTCTTAATATTCTCTCAGAAGAAAGAGAGAAAAGGCAAACATAAAATCCATTTCCAGAAATATAACTCGAAGACTTTGGAGGATATTAAATGTCAGCACATTCATAAAACCTCCTAGACGAGTACAAATTCGTTTCTAAGTGCTGAATGGAGAACAGAAATTGGACATTAGGGCGGCATTACTGGATAATGATACTTTCCAGAAACAAATTTCCAAGCCATCTGTGACCTCAAGTGTCCAAACGATTTCTTTTTGCAGTATTTCGTTATACGACAATATATTAACACAGTACTGCCTTCTTTTTAAGAAGTTCTAAACATCTATGTGTCTTTATTGTTTGTGCTTTTTTGTGGTAACATGGGTATAACATAAAAGTTGCCATGTGGACCAATCTTAAGTGTACAGTTCTGAGGCATGAAGCACAGAGCCATTGTTGTAAAACCGTCGCCACCATTGTCTCCAGAACCTTCTCATCTTCCCCAGCGGAAACTCCGTCCCCGTGAAACACTAGCTCTTCGCCCCTCCCCCAGCCCCGTGTACCCACCACCTTCGTTTGTCTTTATGGATTTCACTGCTGTAGCACTGCTTTCTTAAATAGATACGTTATTAATCTTTTGCTCCTTGCCTGGGCCGTGCCTAGGGCGATGCTGTTTTGTGAGCGCTGAGGAATTTGTGTGTTTCCTCCCTGTTCAGGGGCTCAGCTGCCAGGCCCTGACTGCGCTCACTCTGCCTGACTCTGATGCCCTCTTCTGTCTCCTCCACGACCTCCTCGAGTAGGCGGTGAGATCCAGGAAATCAGCAATTACCTCTGCCAAGGACGGAAGGAACGTAAGAGTGCTCAGCACTTACCAATAAATTCAGGCTTGTTCAGGCTCTTTGCAGCCCAATCTGCCTGGAGTTCTGTGCAGACGTCTTCGTCGCTGACATTCGGCCCCGACGTGGGTTGGGGCACGTCTGAGGGGAAGGAGATGCTGAGTGTGACTAGGACATGATGAGCCCCGGCCTTTACTCGTGAGCACCCCTGTGAGTTTGCTGCAGGCGACTCAAGGGGCTGGAAAGACGTCAGATTTACGCGGCAGGCGAATGACAAGCCCTATGGATTCCTTTCCTCCACTGATAGGCTAAACCTTAAATACGAAAGGAGAGAAACACTGACATAATTTTTTCTAAATTGAGGAACAACGAAAAAACACTTACCAAGTAACTCAGACACACTCACTGCTTTTTGCTGCTGGGTTATTTTATAGTTTAAGTCACTATGGTTTATTTCAATGTTCACGAGATTGTCCCTGGGAATACCAACAGAGTGAATTGAGCTCAAGATTCTCAGGCCTATGTTTAATTCCTAGTTGACAAAGGTAATATGTATTTTTGGTTCAGATGTTGTTTAGCGTTGAATTAGACACGCCACTGTTTTCAGTACTAATCACAATAGCTTTGCTTGGAAGGCATTCTCATCTTGTTGGTATTTAGGGAAAAGAATTTTCCCCGTGACCCAATACTTTTTCTATGCTCTATTGCTGAGAAACTGGAAAAAGACATTAGATGTAAATCTCCGCTGAGTATATTATTTACAAACATTGAGTGTGTGTCTAATTTTACTTCAAGTCTTGGTCCTGTCCCGTGTGACTTACAGGGTCCTGGAGGAGGCACACCGTTTTCCCGAGTCTCGGCGCTCCGTCTGTGGCTGGGCTTTTAGACTGGCAAGAAGCAATTAAACAACGTATGGACAGAACTGGCACAGACCCTGCATATACTGGGTGTTTAATGAATGGTAGTCATTTACCTGACATTCTTAATATATTAGGGCAGAGACTCTGCTTTCTTAATACATTCTGCAAGTCGTTATATGTGACCAGAGTAGCTAAACAATATTTTTAAATAACTTGTGAACCCTCACCATTTCCAGCTCAGATTCCACCTTGAACTTCATTAGTACATTGAATTACCTCTTGGTATTTCTGCTTGGTTGTTCGGTAGGTATTTCAAATATTCCAAGCCAAACTCTTGATATTTCCCCATTTTAATGCAATAACACTGCACAGCCAGTTCATCAATAAATATTTGTTTTACCTTCAAATATGCCCAGATTCCAATCTCTCACCCACTCACTGCTACCACCTGTGCCTAAGCTGTCATCATCTCTCACCTGGATTTTTCCAGTCGCTTTCTGGTTGGTCCTTCTGCTTCTGACTTTGGCGTACTCCATCTCAGTAGATACTCACTCTTTGCTCTTCACACAAGAACCAACATAATACTTGTGCAACTTGCAGATCAATCACTCCCCTGCTCCAAACTCCCCAGAGACGTCCCAGAATACGCCAAGGAAAACCCTCTGTGGCCCTGAGAGATTTCTGTCTGCCAGCGACCCACGCCCGGGCCATCCTTGGCCATCACCTACTCTGCCTGTTGACACATTCAGTTCCAAGCTATTCTACCCACACACGAGGCGTGCTGTTGGCCTAGGACCTTCTTCTGCGTGTGGTTTTCCCTCCTGAGACGTCCTTTCCCCATTAATATCGAGGCCAACTCTTACATTGCCTTTAGGTCAGCAGTTTTCAAAGTGTGGTTGCAGACCCCTAGGGGTCCCCGTTATCTTTTTAGGGAGGTTCACAAAGTCAAAATTATTTTCATAAAGTACTAACGTGTTATTTGACATTTTCACTATGATTGTATTTCAAGAAAGCTGCAGTAGCCACTTTCGATGTGGCACATCGTTTTCACTTGAAGGAACGACTGACGAGCTACGGTCCTTCAGACTATGAAATTTGGGGGACATTTTCATAATGAACAAAATGGACATTTGTTCATAATGAACAAAACGAGCTGTTGCACCAAAAAAATAACAGATAAGACTGGCAGTCATAATAAATTTCAAGCTTAACTTTTACGCTAAAGTGAGAATCTTGGAAAATTTATGTCTGCTATGATGAGCTTGACAACTCAATTTTTAAAGACATTTATGGCAGGATAAGTAACGGTATTAAATTGAAATGTGCATTATATAATAAAGTGGATCAATATTTGGAAAATCTGCATAGCCCAGAGAATTCTTCTCATGTCCAAATCATGCATGAGAAAGAGATCCAAAGTGCAAGATCAATGAATATAAACACAATTGAGTACGAAGAGTTCACTGAGATGTTTTGACATTTCAGTGCTCACAGCTTCCAAATGTCAGCCTGCCCTTTTCTTGTCCCCAGAGAGTTAAGCTGATGAGAAGGCCATGCGCTTCCTGCTTCGGCACCTGGGAAAGTTCAAGCACACAGACTCTGACCCTCATCTGGGATCGCTCGTCCACGTCTTACCTCAAAACCACAAGGACAGGTAAAGCCAGCTGCCTTTCCTTGTTCTCTCCAACCAGGAGAGGTTCTGCCTGGGAGCTTGCACTACTCTTCCCAGAAAGTGTCATTACGTGAGCAGTAAGTACATTTTTCATACCCTCTTGATGCACGTGTGGCAGTATAAACCCCAGCAGCCTCACCAAATGTTGAGTGGAGAGTTGACCCCCGTCCTGTGGGGCAACCACAGACATGTAGTACAGTTAACACGTGAGAAGCTACTCTTGTTGAGTTTTGATGTGTAATCAAAGAAAAGTATCACAATTACCCATAAAGGCTATTAAAATATGCCTCTTTTCGGGCAGTGCTTCTGTTCGACGCAAGGTTTTCTTTGTGCTCTCCAACCAAATGACATAAACCAACAGACTAAATGCAAAAATGAGAGTCCAGCTCTCCTCTCTTAAGCCAGACACCAAAGAAACCTACAACATCCTAAAATAACACCACTCCTCTTCCTAAATTTTTTCTTTTTTTGGAAAATAGTCACTGTTTATTAAAAAAACTTTTCTTTACATCACCGTATAGCACGTTCATTATTGTTTTAAATGAATCAAAAAATAAAAAATTCACACCTTACTTTTGTAATATGGCAAATATTGTTACTTAAAACCCACATGAAGAAAAGCTCATTGGACCCCTCAGTGATTTATGAGAATGCAAAGGGACCTCGACACTAAAAAGTCTGAGACCCACTGGCTTGGGTCTGCTCAGCTGTCACCTTCACAGGAGGACCTTACTTGATCACAATCCTTCAGGCTGAGAGCAACCCTCCCTCTGACCCTACCTGGCTCCTCCAGCCTCTTTTTCTGCCCCTTTCCTCTCCGGCACTCAGCACAACTGACATGCCCTCACGGATTTACTGTCCATCTTCACTCCACGGGGAGTGAGTGCAGCAAGGCAGGCTTTTGTCTTTTGTGCACGGAGGTATCTCTAGTTTTTAGGGCACCCTGGGATCCTGACACACACTAGGCACTCATGACCTATTTGTGAAAGGGACAAGTAAGGGAACAAATCAAAACTGAAAGCCAGGAATGAATAGATAAGTGCATATTAACCTGTTTTATAAGCTGAGGTGGAAACTGGAAACCTGATGATTTTCAGACACAACAATAATTTCATTAAGAATATATCCTATTGTGTAATAACCTAAATGGGAAAAGAATTTGAAAAAGAATAGATATATGTATATGTATAATTGAATCACTTTGCTGTACACATGGAACTAACACAGCATTGTAAATCAACTATATAGTCCAATATAGAATAAAAAGCTAAAACAAAAATAGATCCCATTAGCAATGTTTCCCGGAATCATGTGATATCTTTAGTATATCTAAGAAGCATGGCTGTAAATCACTCTCTTTATGGTTTACTGTTTAGAAATCAATATTCCCAAATATAATTAGTTCAAAATATATCATTAATATGTTTAATTAATTTCCATTGGTTTAACCCTGGGTAACAGGAGAATGTACTGTGTTTAAATAGCTAATCAGGGGGGTATTGTAATATTTGCAAATAATAAACCAGTTGCCAAAGTGAAGGAAGTAATAAAGTTATTTTGGAAGTCCAGAAATTTTAGTAATATTGCAATCTTTCTGTGCTCCACTGTGCTCCTAATTTGCATGTAAACTGATAACACTGTGTAATTTCCCAAGCACAAAACTCATAGCCATTTCCCAGCATTATCCATTTGTGTTTTTGCGAGAAGATAAATTCATCCCTTACAAAAATGTCCCGAGGTTTACTCAGCTTCTCTGCGGTGTGTGACTTGCCCACTAATTTGGGTCTCATTGGATCTACACCTCACGGTGATGGTGACATTTTTCAGGACTTAAGTCCAGGAATATTTGTTTATGTCAGGAGAGGCACAATTATGAAATAAAATCTGGATTTTAATGAGGCTAAGAAGATCAAAGAAAAAACAGAGTGTTTATTGCATTTACTAAACACTGAAAAGATGCTTTCACGTGCTTGAGTCTGAGCGCTGGGTTAAGCGGAATAAATTTGTTTTGCATAAAGCAAACCACTTTATACACATTTTACTTGAAGATTTGTTCAATTAAAACAGAGAATATTGTTTTGCTAATGAAATTGGCCTAAATTCAGCCACAATTCACTTCCCCATCGCCTGCTTCAGTCAGGCTAAGCTTCTTATCACCTTCGTATTAGAGTCTGGCAATTGCTACGTGGGGCTCTGTACTGGTCATAGTCTGGGGCTGGTTTGTGCCCCAAGAAGAAACATACAGGCTTCGTAATTAAATTAGGGGTGTTTTAAATCCTACTGATGCTAAGATCCTGTATCTGCTTTCCTGACAAACTGTATGTGCGTTTTCTGATTTACTACTCTGATTTCTGGTCCCTGTGCACAAACCAGTTTTTTAATTATATGTGTGATCCTAACCCCGGCTCTGTCTAGGATTTGGGCGCCCCTGAGTCCAGCTGTACTTGTTCAGGCCCTTGCCTTACTTAGCCTTCCTGATACTGGCCTCTGCTGGTCACAAGCATGCAAGGTCCCTATGTGTCAGTTACACGATAAGGTTGATTGCATAACTACTTACAATAATACAAGGTTTAGGAGAAAAAACCCAGCAGTGTTCGCTAAGGTTGCCTTGTATAACAAGGGGTTTCTTTTCTGGTTCACCAATATGTCTCCAAAATGGTGCCTACATTCTCTGCAGGCCAGATGGGAAACCTAGAAGATCCCTTCCAGCCAAAATGTCACACGAAGTGCTCTTCTCAGGCACATTTAAGTATAATAGGAACAACACTATAAGTACATCAGTTTCCCATATTAAAATGAAATACAGAGACATCTAGATTGGAGACAGAAGTGCTCACAGAGATATAGCTGCAAATCTTCCAGCTTTCCATCGTTTTATCTGCCAAGCGTTTGAAGTGCTATCCTATCCACCCTGTCTTAAAGAAAAGACGTTTTCTTCCTGATTTGAAAGATTGCTTTATTGTCTAGGCATTTACACCGGGAGCATGTTTTTTGTTTGTTTGTTTCATTAAAATAAACACCAGCTTAAAACTGGAATCAAAACATTCTTTCAAAGTTAGATACTTGGCTGTCCAGAAGTAAATCAGCTTTTATTTAGTGAATTTACTTTATTATAATACGTATAAGTACAAACACCAAATGTACTATATTGTTATTTCAGGCCCTCAGCTTAAAAGTATAAATAAGGTACAAAGAGAAGTGCTACATTTGCTCCCTGATTTTTAAAAGAAGAGCTTTTTACGAAGTTTGATTTGTAATTCCCGATGGGTAGTGTGATGTAGCAGAAAGAGACCTAATATAATCTCCAGTTCATCAAAACTGTAGTGATATGTCTCTGTGGGAATATATGGAGACCAGAGGCATAGGTTTGGGGCATAAATTCTTTGTGCACCACTAAGGACCTTCACAGGACAGTTACTTGAAATGCCGTAACTTCAGTTCCCTCATCTGTAAAATGAGACTAATTTGTATTCCCCCTAATACAGCTATTAGAAGACTCAAACTATACAATATACAGGTAAGGAACTTCACGCTTTCACACACTAAGTGATATTAGTCAGCATTATTCCCCAGTTGGGCCAAAAATGCAAGGTCATAAGCAAATTTCTCAGACAGACCTCATTTTACTTTTCACTAAATTAAATTAAAGGATCGAAAGACACGATCTTTTCTATGTTTCAAATTCTAAGCTTTCACTGACAATTCATTGCTGTAAGCTGTGGCTTCCTGTGACTGATCAGAATTTCATTTCCTGAGCCTTTGAAAGTAAAGGAAATATGTATGTTAATTACAAATAATTTACAAGACTAAAACGATTACCTGATATATTGCTGGCTTTGATTCAACTTCTTGGAAAGATGTTTCAAAGCTTTTTGACTCGGAAAAGCAGAATGAGAAATGGCAGCAGGGTATTCTGTTTCTTCACGGGGAACAGGGCAGCTGGAATTATGTGTTCCCATCGTACATAATCCCCTAACTTCAGTGTGGTCTGAAATGAAGATTAGCACGGGATACGCAGACAAGAGGGTTACTTCACGGTGGGGAGGACAGAGCTTTTTAAAATTTTATCATTTCACTTTCAATGTTTAAAACAGTGGTTAACAAGTTCAATCACTACCCCCTTAACAAGTGGTATTTATATTTCATTTACATTTTAGTATAAATACATCAGAGGAGACAATATAAAACAAAGACGTTACCCTTGAATTCATGGAGTCACTGGATCCAGATCTTTGTTAGAAATAAGAAATTCTTGGGCTTTCCTGGTGGCGCAGTGGTTGAGAGTCCGCCTGCCGATGCAGGGGACACGGGTTCGTGCCCCGGTCCGGGAAGATCCCACATGCCGCGGAGCAGCTGGGCTCGTGAGCCATGGCCGCTGGGCCTGCGCGTCCAGAGCCTGTGCTCCACAACGGGAGAGGCCACAACAGTGAGAGGCCCGCGTACCGCAAAAAAACAAACAAACAAAAACACACAAAAATCAGTTCGTTTAATATAAATCTACCCTTTGACAACTGCGTTGGCTTTCCTGGAGTGTTCTCTATCTTTTGCTAGGGTTTCAAAAGAGTTTTCAAAAATCTTGTTTTAGATGAATGGTGAAGAAACAAGGGGATGTATTACTGTGAGGAAGATTAGAACTGGTTTAATGAAGAGCCTAGCAGCCTACAAAGCAGGAAACTTCTTACTTTCCCAATGATACTTCTTGTGGAATTATTACAAGTGGCCCTTGCATTGAATACTGATCTTTACAGAAGCATTTTGAGGAACATCGAACAAGTCTTGCTGTATTTTAAAATAAAAATTGTAGGCACACGATAAATAGGAATCAGACCAAACCAAACCGAACAAAATAAAACAAAAAACAGGTTCTAGCATATAGGAATATTTTGAAGCTACATATATTCGACTTCCTCATATGAATGACTTTTTCCTAAGTAGCAGAAGCTGTATGACTTATATCCAAGGAATATTGGAGGTCAAATTTCCCCAATGAAAAATATAACCCCTGTGTCCTTTGCTAATTTCTCGCTTTTAGAGATGAAAATTGTAACTGTTCTGAGGATTTTACACCTTTCTCAGCCTGGGTTTCTGGTTTCTCAATCTGCTCCATCCCCAATTTCAGCAAGCAGGAGTCCTTGAGGTCTAACCAATTTTCATCAATAACCACACTCATGTTGTGGCCTTTGTATAAAATACAGCAGTCGAGGCTGTGAAACGTGGGGCAGTTTCAGTGTTTGTGTTGCTATGTTTTGCCCCATAAAGCACATAATCTGCAAACCAAAAACGCCGGCAGAACCAGCTATGGGCATTTATGGACTTGGGAGAAGCTATGGTAGAGTGAAGCCAAAAAACATAATTAAGGCAACCATTTTCTCAGAATTAGAGGGACAACCTCTACGAATACTTGTGGTTTTAGAATCACCTCTAATTGACCAGGCTAATTGAATCTCAGGAGACTCACCGGAGATCGTCTCCTTAGTTTTTAACTCTACCTCTCTTCACCTCACTTTGAATCCAAATGCAGCTGGAGTGAAATCTGTGGGGACAAAGACATCTTTTCCTTGTTGAAGCTTCTTTCTAAATCACAGATGAAACTGTTTTAAACAGAAATAGTAATCAAATGAAAATGATAAAATGAAGCACCAGAGAATATTTCCTCGAGAAGAAATGATTGCTGAAAGCATTCAAATTCAGTAAAGCACAAAGCCTAATTATTGGTTCATATGAACACTTTTGAGAAATTATTAGAACTTATTATATTAAATAATAAACTGGAGAATATGCATTGTTGTATATAAATGGCACCATCTCCTGACAGAACTGAGGAATTGCGTGTATCTCAGAGCCTTTTAGGAGCGCCACGGTAACATTTTACAAGTATATAACCTCTAACCATTAACATGTATGAGTCACAAGTATTTTCTTGGAAACTCAGGACTCTAAGTTGAAACTAGTCTTATATGGAAACAAAGTAAGAAATTTCAAGAGATGTAAATGTAAGTCCTAGGGAGACTTCCCCAAGCATCCAATTAAAGATTTCAGGGAGAGGGTCAATCTTACGACGACATATGCATTTCTCCCTTTGAGAGATCTCCCTGGGGTTAATCACAGCTTCAGGTACAGTCTGTTAAAATCCAGGCGCTCCTGACTTACCTCATCGCCCTTACTGCTCTTGCCAGCCGCCCTTCCTTTCTTCTTCTTAGCATCTTTCCACAGCATTCCTGGAGGTTACATGTCAGTGTCCTGTCAGTCAGTCACTGGACTTCTAGGCGCAGAGTCTTTGACTGATTTCAGTTTGGGAACAGACTGCCTGCGGGGGGCCAATAATGCACCTGGGCAGGGGGACATGGGTGCCCTGGGGGGAAAGCGCTGGAAGGAAACTCGAGAGAGAGAGAAAGAGGCCCTACAAAGCCATATTTTACCTGCACCGTGATTTAACCAAGGCTCAGGCACAACCAGAAATTATCTTGACGTTCCTTTCAGTTTCACTTCCTCTTCTTTCTAGCTCACAACCTTTAGTTGCTTCCGCATAGGGCCTCAGGGCACAGGGAAAAAAGAGAGTGAAACACAGAAAGGAAAGAAGGCCAGCAAGGTCTCTCCCGTCGTGCCTATCCTTTACTTGATAAAGAATACAATTTTTAAAAGCCTCTTATTTTTATTTGCTCACGTGTTCCTCTCTTCTGTGACATTTAAAAATGATGATTTCCCACAACACTGTAAACAAACTATACTTTAATAGAATGGTTTTGAACAGTAAAAGTAAAAATAAAATAGATAATTTTGGTTGCTCTCGCTTGCAGGGCTCTGACACCGCCTCATCGATGTCTCTTCGACTTCAGGGTGAACATTGTTGCCTTTTCTTCCTCTCCGCTCGTTTAAAAAGTATTTCACCGTCACCTCCCTCTCCTGTGGCGACTTGTAGTAAATTTGAACTCCCTCTTTGCCTGGCAAGGAAATGCCGCCCCTACCCCAGCGTTTGCCTGCATCGCCCCTGTCTGAAACCAAAGCCCAGCATCCTTCCCCCGCAACGACCTCTGCTTGCTTCTTTGTTATTAACTCTCTAAGCAGCTCAATAAAAACACAGACCCTCCCGCTTTCCTTCCTCCTGCTTCCCCCGCTCATGCCCTTGGTTTGCAGAGCAGATGCCTTTGGCCAAAGATCCATCCTCAGCTTTCTCCCATCACCATGCTCACAAACAAAAGAATGGGGAATTCAATGACAAAGCCAAACCCAGGGAGAATCTAGAGGTTCTGAATTAGCGTTATCTACCACACTTGCACAAGTAGCATCAGCAGCAGATAACCACTCATCACCACGGAAGACTGCGAAAGGTGAAATAAGCGCTTCCCTGGCGGCGCAGTGGTTGAGAGTCCGCCTGCCGATGCAGGGTACACGGGTTCGTGCCCCGGTCCGGGAAGATCCCACATGCCGCGGAGCGGCGGGGCCCGTGAGCCATGGCCGCTGAGCCTGCGCGTCCGGAGCCTGTGCTCTGCAATGGGAGAGGCCACAACAATGAGTAGGCCTGAGTACCGCAAAAAAAAAAAAAAAAGAATTTTATGCAGTGTCTAGAGAAGTATGTTCTGGCCCACCACCAGTTATACAGACACATTTTTATGGTGTTTTTCAAAAAATCTTATGTGTTTTTAATAAAATTTTTGATCCGATTGAATAGGCATACAGCTAAAGGTACATAAAAGTTATCTTTAGCTACTACTTTTAAATTTAGCTTTGAATTAAAACTTGTATTTTACTATCCCTTTGGGGCAACGCATAACCATTAATAGTGATGCAATTTCTCTTTTAGATTTAGACAGCTTTGATAAGACTACAGGGTCTGCAAAGGAAGACAGTGTAAAGAATACCTTTTCTTGTATTGGAAGTAGATATTTTTCTTAATAATCTTGGAAGGGAAAAACAAAGCAAACTCACAGCTTAGCATGTTCTTAATAAATACTTTAATGCTGCCTTGCTGTGGGTTTGTATTAAGACAAAAACCAGAACCTCTATTTTCTTTATGCTCTGTATGTAAGCATTGTGGGTTAGTGTTTTTGTATTCATTACAATATTTTCTATAAAATACTAAATGGAAGAAATTAGCCACTCTATCATATCTATTCAAAGCAAATAAATTCACAGACCTAAAACGATAGCGTTTCGTGCAGAAAGGGACCCTATGTTGCCACCAAGGCCAACCCTCTAAGTCACTGCCACCCTCACTCATTCAACAGTGGAGAAAGCTCAGACCCGAAGAGGAAGAGTGTAAATCCCACGAGGTCTGGGCTCTTTGGCTGCTCCGTTGTATGTGCTGTGGATCTACCCATCTGGTAGGTAGGAAGCCGTCGGGAAATATGTTGAATGAATAAAAAGTTTGCCCTAGCTTTGCACTGCTTTCGTTACACACATGCCATCGTGATATGAGAAAACGACTGCAAGTTTTCCAACCTTTTATTTTGAAAAATACAAACTTCCAGCAAAGTTGCAAAAACTGTGCAGTGAATACCTATGTACTCTTTACTGTAATTCATTAATTTAAAACATTTTCCCACATTTGCTTTATCTTCCTCGTTAAATGAAACTTCCTCTTCTTGCTTAAGAAAAGGGACATCCTCCTGTGTAAATAAGATATAAAAATCACATTCAGGAAACTTCACTTTGATCCAGCACTCTTATTTAGTATACATCTCATACTGAACATTTCTAAATTCTTCCCCAATCAAACGTTATAATATTTAATTTCCCAATTCAACATCCCATCAAGGATTATGGGTTTTATTTCCTTGTCATTTCTGTTTATTCACTTTTAATCCGGAACAGTTCCCTACCCATTAATTTATTTTTTGCTTCTTGGGTTTTTTTTCTGTCTTCTCATTACGTTGCTAATTTTGAAGAATCCATGTCAGATGTTTTGCAGAATGCCTCTCAGTTTGGGGTTGTACAGTTTCTTCTTCGTCATTAGGCTCAGGTCTAGTATTTAGGGTCATTGGAACCACACGGGGGTGAGTGTCCTTCACAAATCATCACATCGAAGAGCACATGACCTCAGTCTCTCCTCCTATTGGTGATAATAAGCTTGATCGCTCGGCTAAGGTGTGTCAGTCAGATTTCTCCTTTGTAAACGTACCTTTTCCCTTTGTAATTAATAAGTAATCTGTGGGAGATTAGCCTATCTCGTCCCCAGCCTTTCACCCAGTGATTTTAGTATGAATCAGTGAGTCTCGTCTTAATTAATTATTGCTATGGTGTTTACAAAATGATGATATTCTCTTTCTATGTTTCTATATTTTGTTGGCATTCTTCTCTAAAGTAGAGCTTTAACTTCTGATCTCCCTTATTTTTAAAAAATTAAAGAATTGCTTTATTATTCTGTACATTAAAACCTATTTCCATAGTTGCTATTTTTAAAAAATTGTTTAAAATGGCACCTTTTCCGGAAGAACTAATGGAAATAAATTTACTGTATTTACTACTGTCTCATTTTCAATAGTTATCTATTAAAATTAGTAACTCAAAAATATATTTTAGACGAAAAACATTGTTAATTTAAGAATACAAACTTGTGATGTTTTGTACTCAGATCAATCAATTTAAAGCACCAAAATACTTAGCTGTAGAAAGGAGATAGAGTTCATGATATTTTGGCTCTCAGTTACTTGGGTGGTTATAAAGAGAGTGGTAAGGCGACATATAGACATGCTAACTTTTGGGTGTTCCTTTTAAATAACTCAGTTTCCTCTGCTATATTTATTTTATTCTTTTCTAGCAGATATACTGGAAACAAAACTTCTTGGATCAACACAAAATCGAGTCACAGACTCTCTGTTTCTTCATTCTATTATTATTTTTTTTTTTTTGCGGTACGCGGGCCTCTCACCGCTGCGGCCTCTCCCGCCACGGAGCACAGGCTCTGGACGCGCAGGCTCAGCGGCCATGGCTCACGGGCCCAGCCGCTCCACGGCACGCCGGATCCTCCCGGACCCGGGAACGAACCCGCGCCCCCTGCATCGGCAGGCGGACTCCCAACCACTGTGCCACCAGGGAAGCCCCTATTTTTTGATATTTAATAAGATGTTGAACTTGTTATCCAAACAGAATTCTTCTGATTTGCATTTTTGTGCACTGATTAAATGAAATGCCCATCCTTCGATTTTTAAAAATAGGAAGCAAATGTTTTGTAATGCACATAGGAGTAATACACACAGGAAAATGTTACAGATCCATAACACCATCATCAACAATCACATATTAAATGCACCTCGGATATATCCTAATTATTTATATGTTCAAAAAGCCCATCCCCGGCTGGTGTGTTCAACCTTCTGAAAATGAAAGGCTGGGGGGACTGCTGGTGAGTTTCTCACTTCAGCTCTGCCATACCTGCCATTGGCCCAGTCTGTGGGAGGTTTGTTTGTCACTCAGCTGCTGCGACGCCACCAGGGAAACAGCCTCTGTATAAGCACCTCTGGGGCTTTCTTCCCAGCGTTGCAACTGTTCCTGAAATTGGTCAAGGCAGGGACGGGCTCCACTAATGCTTAACCTGCAGGTCCAGGAGGTTGCAAAATCATGTGTCACTTGGGTCAAGGTTACCCGGATAGCGTCAAATTATCCAAACATTGTACTGGCAATATCATGTTCCTGTCTCTTTTCTCAACTCTGATCTCTGATCTCTTTGCACAGTAGGACGTTTGGGAGAAACGTACCTACCTTCCAACGACTGAGAACAAAAATATTGATTTCCCATAATCTGCATACCTTTGGGAACTATTCTAAAGAAGGGTTATAAGTTGTGTGCTTAGTGCATCTTCCAAAAAGAAAGCAAAACAAAAGAACTCAAAGACGGCAAATTTTAAAAACTGAACATTCACGAGGTGTAGAGCATCGGGCATGATATAATAGAAACGATTTAGTTTTTTCTCATGTGAATTTCACACACTACAGTGGGGTTAAAAAAAATGCACGTCCACCCGGAACATCAATGTGACCTTATTTGGAGATAGAATCTTTGTATGGATAGATGTGATCTGTTAAGACTCTCAGGACGAAACCATCTGGGTTTGGGACCTAGGGACACACAGGGAGGAGGCTGTGTGAAGACAGAGGGAGCGATTGGAGTGTGGCTGCCATCAGCCAAGGGTCTCCAGGAGCCCCCAGAAGCTGGAAGAGGCAGGAAGAATTCCTCCTTGGAGCCTTGGTTGGAGCCTGGCCCTGGCAGCACCTTGACTTAGAATTTTGGTAAAACTGTGAGAGAATAAGTTTCTGTTGTTTTAAGCCACCACACCTGTGGTAACTTGTCCTAGCAGTCCTAAAAAACCCGCACACACACTGAAGAGAAATCAGACGGATTTTAACTGAGGATTTGTAAAAAAGTTGTGAGGTTCCCTGGCAACTAAGCCGGACGATAAAGCCTAGTTTTCAAAAGTGAACAGTGAGTTTATACACGATATGAA